ATCAATACAAAATGACAAAAGGCTAGTACTCGGAAATATAACGAGCTCAAACCTTGATGTTAATGGAAAAATTCCCATTGACTTCAATGGCAGCAGGATCAGGCCCTTAATTTACGCAGAGGCTTGTTTTAAAATATGTTTTAGTAATTCTATTTTTGCCTTTGTAAGACTGGGGGGTTTACAGCATTAGGCTACAATACACAGTAAGGGGGCTGAGTCAGATTTCCTTGACTCTACTCTTTCTTCTCTCAAGGGGCCTATTGAGTGAGCAAGCCTCCATAAGTTCCTGTATCAGCTGGCTGAGCACTGATGGGGTCCTACAGCTATCGAAATGACTAGATAGGCATCTGCATTCATGGACTAAGTAAAGCAGAAAAGAAGATGAACAAGATAGCTTGCTCTAAGGAGGGAAGGCTAGTCATGCAGCTCCTTTTACCAAAGCAACACAGTAAGGTGGACTCAGCAAAAAGCACTTAAATGAAAGAGAATCTTAACCACAATGCAGCTGCTTGTTGGACAGAGACACTACAGAGACTGTGAGGATCTGCTCTTTAAACTGCACTGAAAAACAGTGTTGGTTTCTTACCTGATGATAAAAATAGGTGTCTTTTAATGTGACTTTAAAGAGAGTTTAAATCGTAAGAGTCAAAGTGTAATGAAAAATCCTGCATAGAAGTACACTCAAAGAACAGGCCTATGCCTGGTTGGCTCAGAAAACTATTTTGCCTATTCCCGTGTTATTTTACATAGGGCAAGGGTAGTGTTGCATCACAGTTCCAAATGATTTGGGGGAATTCTTTCCCTTTTCTAAATGATTTGGACACTTTGCGGTTATAACCCAGACAAGTCCTTCAGCGCCTTGTAAAGGGTCGAGTAAACTATTAAAGCATCAATATTATTCAGTATAAAATAAAAATCTCCTAACCCCCAATAAATAAACCCTGAAGGAAGTTCTCTATGCAAGTCTGAGACATAGAAACCCTCTTGAATATCAAAATTCACTTTCACAAAGCAAAGTATTGCACTGCTTTATTCACTGCCTATTGGTTGGACACAGTGATAATAAACGGACATGGATTTTCAAGCTAAAAGTCATTTTGGTCCCTAATCAGTCTTTATTCAGACTAAACTCGCACTGATTTCAATGAGACGTTAGACAGAGAACAAACTAAATATGACCCTCTAGATTTGGCTCTTTTTGAGCCATGATTTGGGTATTAAAAAGTTTTAATTCAAAAATTTCTCCCCAGTTATTTTCAGTCACTTATGTATGTGGATCGGTAGAAAATGTGTTTGTTTTCTTCATGTAAATTTCACATAGCTCCTTTGGTCAGGTGTCCATGTTTGCTTTGGCATGTAAATTGCCCCCTCACCTCTCCAAACTCATGTAAATATAGTGCTAAATACTGCCTTTTGTTACATGAGTGTGCCAGGGAGACTATTTCCTTCCCGGACCAAGGCTCACTCAGATTGCAGCTGCACTGGATTCCAGCCCAGCAGTCTCTTGAGTGTCAAATTAGGGAGTGGCTAATGAGCTTGCAGATCCTCCACAGGGAGCTTGCTGACTTGGGGGCATGGCAAAGCATCCACTCCCACTGCATGCACAGAGGATTGTGAAGGTTTAGGATGCGGAGTGTGTTGTTCTACTTCCCTGCACAGGCAGGATGGCTCACTAAACCGAACATATAGCTGGCTCTGCTGTTTCCTTAACTCGCCTGCTGTTCACAAAACTGGTGAGTAAGGGCAGAATTTTGCCCTTAGTATTTAGGTCATGAATAAAAATGATTTAGGTTCTAGAAACTAGTCAGATGGGGTTAAGATTAAGATGAGTTTAATGTAATCAATGAAGGGGAGCTGTTTAGTTTTCATTCATCTCAAACATTACAATGACAAGTCTGTTTCGTATAGATATTCTGATTTTGGATACGTGTGCAAGGCTCCCACTGATGACACTGAGAACCTACCCAAGGCCAGAGTGTGGTCCATGGTGCCATCCTACCCAGGTTTTAAAAACCAAACCAAGCCCAACTGCAACCCAGAAGATAATTTGTGCCCCATTCCATAATGCCATGTGCATTCATGACTTCATGTGGTTATTGAATCACTTGCCGTTAAGCTGAAAAGTTTGTAACGTTCAGAATGTGCACCTCATACTTGCATAAGTGCTCATAAGTCCCTCTCTTATCTTTAATTGAGTGTGAAGTATTTTGTGATACTTTTCTGTGAAAGACACTATACAAAAATAGTGTACACCACATGGGACAGGAAAGCAGATCCTGATGACAGCCAGCTTATCTCCCAGCACTGCCTGAACAAAGCATACATCTAGTGGCTATGTTTTCAGAAACACTTCCAACAAGTGTTAACATTTACTTAGAGAGAACTGGCAGTCCTGCGCAGTTTTAATATAGCTTTACCCACCGCACTAGAAACAAGTGGATTCTAGTTACTCACTTCCCTTCCTAGGTAGTCCCAGGGTAAACAGAAATATCATGCCATCAGTGGGGGCACCCAGCAGGAGCAAGCAAAGGAGCACAAATCACAGTGCTCCTGATTCCCAGCAGCCCTCAGGAAATTTTAAAAAAACAAAACATATAGCCAAATGAGAGAGACTGCAGCTCAAGGAAATTCCCAGTACGCCACTTTCCCATCTCCCTCCTTTCCCAAAGGAACAGCACATGATTTCAAGCAAGTGTGAAAGAGCCAGCAGACAAACAAAGGAGATAAAAGACATAATTCCAAGGAGCACTCAGGAGGCCACATCATAAGCATGACACACCAACCTCTAGCAGACTGAGGCACTCCACCATTATCTACTTCACAGATGGACCACCCAGAAAATCTGGGAGCAATTAGGAGGGAGAAAAAAAAATGCATGGGGTGGGGGGTTGGGGTTGGGAAGGAGGGCCAGGAGGATTCCTTACATCATCTCCATGCAAGCGTTTCGAGAATGAAGTGAATCTATATGGAGGAGGAATGCAGATTAAAGTGTTTGCAGTGAGAATGCAATAAAATAAAAGGCTATGAAAACATGCGACATCTGAATGAATTACAACACAGATGTTAAATTTACAAAAAGCCACAACAATGTGTAAACATAAACGGGGAAGCCGATCGAGTTCTAGGAGACACATGTGCACATAAACTGCTTCTTGATGACTATTCATGGCATTTCCTCCTGGTTTCACAACCCAGAGAGGCATTATGCAAAGACAACAGTTTTACTTCCCCCCCGCCCCCCTTCTAGTGGTGTCAATAACAGACAGTTAATATTGTCAGTAAAAAACAAACCAACATAACACAGAAATACAATTGCGTATTCTGTACAAATACATGAACCCCCTCACAGCAGATTCCCTAACAGTTTCACAGAACTGAATGCCTGGGGGCTAAAGACTGCTTGTTCTCAAAGGAGTCCTTTGGACCCAATTCATTTCATTGGTCCAACAGGATTTGAGATTGTTGACTATTAGTTCACGGTGCAAAGCATAGATCTTTAAACAAGTTTTTGCCTGATTCTGAACAGTGCTGAGCACTTTCAGCTCCCACTGACTCCAAGGTGGTTGCTCAGCACCACTAAAATTTAGGCCATTCTTATTTAAGCATCTAATTTTAGGCCCTCAAGTTTCAAAATTTTGGTTTGAGCCTTTTACTTTTGTTGACTTTGCTCACTAAAGTTGCTTATTCATTTTAAATGATTCTAGGTTCACCCTAGCACCTTTGCATGTGGCTGCAATTTATAAATAAAACCATACATTTGTAGTACTCAAAAGCAGTAAGACAGAAAGTGACTCACTGTTAATTAAAATGACCTCTACATATTTTGTTTTTTTTTTCTTTTTGTTTTGTACTATTTTTCCTTCGATCTTGATCCCTGAGACTGAGATCTGGGCACTAAGGGCATATTATACAAACATATTAAAATTCATACTAGGGAATCTCTAAAGCTTTTCAGTGTATTAGTCATGGTGGCAAATTCACTTCTTGGCAACTTGTGACTTGGTAGGCACTATCTGTAGAGAAATTAAGCTGAACATTTATTATCCAGCTTGCCTCAGCAGCAGCTACAATACGGCAATTAGTTTACCTTAGAATAGACATCAAAGACTCAAAGGATGACCTTGCCCTGGAAGAATGAAATCTTTTTAAAAGCCCCATTCCACTCAGTTTGCTAGTTTATAAGGTTTGCTAAAATCCAGTTTAATGATCATGTAGTTTCTTAGCAGGTCATGTGGTACCATATTGTTTAAGGAACACAAGAATTAGTTATAAACCCTTTTTGAACTCAGAGAGCTTTCCGATTTGCTGAGGCAGAGCCACTTTCTAAAGACGTAAATGAAACTGTCTGAAGGAAAAGCCTCACTATGATTTTCTTTAGCTTCTTTCAAACCAGACAAAAGTTCCCACACAATATATACGCTCCCTTACAATGAAGCATTTAATAACAGCAATACGTTCTGTCCATATGGCGTGGCTAGAAGGGAGAAGCGCAAGTGACCATGCTGAGAAGTCTGTACTCACAGCCCTGTAAATTACAGATGAAAAGTGAGAGCACAAAAGCTGCGAGGTCAGACAAACTGGGCCAGGTACCAGTGCAGGCCTTATTTTCTGTTTTCCATTCCTCCTTTTAATGCTGGCCTAAAATTTTTCATGTCCGGAGTCATAGCCAACTTTTTTTCTTATCCGAACATTTGATCAAAACCCCTGGTACCATCCAATATACAACAAACTTAGTTTAATCTGCTCTGGTGACCAAGTGGTAGTGGTACATGCCATCATGAAGGAGATTTGAGTTGGAGTCTCAAATTTGGCTTTATGCAGCAATAATACAGGAGAAATGAAGTGGAAAAGATGGATTTAAAAAAAGAAATGGGTGGATAAAATTGAGGAGGATACTTAGGATCCCACCTAGAATTAGGTATGAATGAAAAAAGAAACTTGGGGGTGGGGGTGAAGGAGGAGAAATATCTGTTCTTTAAATTAGGATGGAATTGCCCTACCTCTTTCCATTACTATCACGAAGCATAGCTTTTCCCAGTTCTTTGGATTTAGTTTCCAGCTCCTGAACCTGCTCCAGCAAAGTTTTATGGTAGGTATGCTTGGCCCTGTATCACAAGGAAAAGACAAAAAAACAAAAACAAAAAACACATAAACGTTCACATGGCTGTAAAAGACCAAATTTCCTTCTCAGACAAAAAAGGCACAGAGCCTTTGATTTGGGAAGATTTGGGAAATAGGGCAATGCAAGGGTGTACAAGCATGGCAATTAGTCCAGATTCATAATATCTGGGTAATGTTACATGAAAAGGGCAGAACTGAAAGACTATAAACTCAGTATAGTTCATCTTCTTTAACAGAACACTCTGTCTGTGTAAAACTGTGCAGAGCTGCTGGACTCCGGAGACTTGACACCACTGCCATGGGACTGCTCAAGACCCGGTCATCCAAACAAAAGAGCAGGGTTTCACTGAATATTCATTGAAGTAAAGCATGATTCCATTTTGTCCTTTGAGCCACACATTGCGGTGCACTGAAAATCTGATTACAGTCTCAGATAATCATTGCCATTCAAACCTTCTAATTTTCATTTATGAGTATTGTGACACTGCACCCCGTATTCTTCATAGTGATATGATTATAGCATAATTATGATGTGTTTTACGCAAGATAAGTCATGTGAGATGTCATTGGAAAAGTTATGATTTGCTGAATATGATTATCCTATTTGTATGCACGTATCATTTTTGCATCTGAAGTTATGAATATTGACTATGTATCTGTATTTCAAATGTAGTTATACCTGGGTGACACCCACTAGGCAAGATGCTTTCTGTCTAGATAGCTGGTTGGGAAGGGCCTATTCAGGGCAATGAGCCATTAGAAAGAACAGTAGGCCTTAGGAGAAGTTTATCAACCACTTGGTGAGCCTTCCTGGAACACTCCAAACAGCTTGTAAGTAATGGCTGCTATGACTCTACAAGGACATGTGACCAGGCCACATGATTCTAGACTCCATCTTGGGATATCAGTATTTTTCCAAAACCGCTCTGGGAACCAAGTTTTGAAACAAAGGGTTCCCACCATATGCTAAAGCTATATAAGGCAGGGAGTGACATCATCTGTGGTGCTTCACTCCCCACACTAGAGGACTCCTGAAACATCTGAGGAACAAAGACTGAACTGGGGGAAGTGCTGGACCCAGGCTAAAGGGATTTCTAGCCTGTGTATGAAGATCTGAGAAACCCAAGCTTGTGCAGCTTGTGCCTTAAGAATCTATAAATCTGCCTGTACCATCAGTTATGCTGAGAATCTGCTAATTCATATCCAATCTATTTAGTATATTAAGCTTAGTTTGCGGTTTTTGTTTATTTGCTAGGTAATCTGCTTTGATCTGTTTGCTATCCCTCATAATCACTTAAAATCTCTCTTTTGTAATTAATAAACTTATTTTATGTTTTAATCCAAACCAGTGAGCTTTGACTGGAGTGCTTGGGGAAATCTCTGCTTGGTTACCACAAGTGTGCATTGTCCTCTTCACATTGAGGGAGAGGCAGACTGGCTATTAAACCCATATACTGGCTAGATTTGACCAGGGCAGGACGGTACTGCTCTGGGGTCTAGGCTGGGAAGCTGGTGGTTAGAGAGCCTGCGTGTAACTGCAGCTGGGTGTGTCCATACCTGTGTGAATGCTGGTGAAAGTGAGGCTGGAGGGCTTTGCAGCTTATCACAGCAGTACAATGTGAAAGGGAGCCCAGGCTGGGGGGTCAGAGGGCTCAGTGGTACCTCAGTTCCAGGTGGCACCCCAGGGGGAACCAGTCATAAGTATTTCCAATTTTGCTAGACTTAAAAGATGCTTCCCTCCACAGTCAGCTTCCAGAAATAAAGTAACAGGACTGGCTGTGTCCTATTTCCTTGGGTTTGGCATGCAAAGAACAATTTTTGTACCACAGGCATAACTAGAATTCATACATGCTTGGGTCTCTGGAGTAAAGAGACTTGGGCCTTGTTTCAGGTCTCACTTATATCATCATTCACTGGCTTCACTCCTGAATTATGCTTGTGTAAGTGAGAGGAGAATCTAGCTCTCACAAAGTAATTAAAAAAAATTCAGGAATATCTTTCTCCAATTGGCAGTTTCAGCCTCCTCTTTTATGTCACTTAATGGAGAAAGAGTATCCCAGGAGACAATATTAATTTATATATGACAGCAAAATACACTTGAAACAAAATGGAGTCAAGTTGCCTGAGACACCAGTATAGACTTGAAAAGATAAAGTATTTGCCTCTCAGTGTTAAAATGGTATGTTCCAATTCCAGAGATGGCAAAGACATCCTAGGCAGACAGAGAGATGTAATTTACACCCAATAATCCAAAACATAGTTTTAATCTGTCTGCATTATGGGGAGGTACTGATTGATGTACACATCATTAAAAGGTAACCAAGATACATTCATATTATTAATTCCATGATTTTCATTATTCCGCCTGCTAAAAACCCTCACTACTGTGGACAAAAAGTCCTTGCTGATACTACAGGTACTGTTATTTATTTATTTACTTATTTTTAAGGACAGCATTTTCAAAACTGACCTCTAATTTTGCATACTCAATTTTAGGCACCCACGGTTTGACTAAGCAGCCATAGCTCTCAGTAGCATAAATGGTGCAGGATCAGGCCCCAAGTCTCAAAAGTGGAGGCACCCATAGTGAATGGCCACTTTTGCAAATGTGGGCCTAAACATGCACCTGAACATAAAAGAAAAGGCAGCTAGAAAACAAAGGGTTAGAGAGGAGGAATATGAGAGTCTGTAAGGAAAAGGAGACTCACATAGTATTAAAGAATACAGTCCTACCAACATACATTAGCAGTATACTTGAAAATAGAAATAAATACACCCAAATCAAGAGAGGGATAAAGCTTGAATGGTAGCATGGACATATACTGATAGGCAATGAAAATAGAGTAACAGGAACATTTTAAAAGTTGTATAGTTTCAAGAATGTTATATTACTTAGAACTGCACAAAAATTAATTAGATTCAAGTTACTGTGGCTACTTAGACTAATAATTAGACTCATCCTCCTCTTTGAGAACTGAAACTTTAGACAGTTTTTAGGAGATAAAGCCTGCTTTAAGCTTTGGGCTATTAACTCTTATAATCTTTCCAATTGACTTTGCTTTCACATTCCTCTTAATTTGACTAAATATGTTAAAACATTGACCTTGAACTTATCTCCTGCCTTTAAAAGAGACAATATCGAGTACTGTAGACTTGAGGAGTTTTAAAGTCTGTATAAATTTGGAACTTTACAAATCCTTCAGATTTACTTTCATATAGGCCTGGTCTACACTTACCCCCCAATTCGAACTAAGGTACGCAACTTCAGCTACGTGAATAACATAGCTGAAGTCGAAGTACCTTAGTTCGAACTTACCTCGGTCCACACGCGGCAGGCAGGCTCCCCCGTCAACGCCGCGGTACTCCTCTCGTCTAGCTGGAGTACCGCAGTCGACGGCGATCACTTCCTGGTTCGACTTATCGCGTCCAGACAAGACACGATAAGTCGAACCCAGAACTTCGATTCCCAGCTGCCGAACTAGCGGCTGGGTGTAGACATACCCACAGAGAGAAATCTGGAAAAGTACAAACTATCCAATCTCTTCGAAGACTCCATGTTCATCTTTTCAAGTTTCCATTCATCATAAGAGATTAGAGAGATGCTTTTCTTTTCTCTCCCCAGAGTGAATACTGAATCCAGAATGTAAACATAATGGGGCCTTAGCAACAGACAGTCCAATTAGTGAAGTACAGTAAAAGCAAGCAATGCATTGAGAAATTTCACCATATGACAAAATATTGTTGCCTTAAAGTCTGACAGCATCGAAGTTATTTTCAAGTAATACAAAACGATGGACTATGCGGGTACTGCATCCTGGCTGGGTATCTAGAAAGTACTGATACAAAGCCATGTCGTTGTCGTATTATTGGATAATTTCTTGGAGTAAGGACCTCATTAAAACAGACAGTAATGGTGGGAATTTAGTATTTGTAAAACAGGCTAATGATAATCCATCCATGTATGTCTAAAGAATAGGTGCTACAAAATGAAACTCTTACTCTTCAGGGCCTTACCCTGCTCCCACTGAATTCAACGGCAAACTTCTCATGGATTTCAGTGGGAGCAGGGAGAGGCACTTTGGCCGACTGCTTTTTTCAGAATGGCAGACATTAACCTTTGAAACAGGAAAAGAAGGGGACAGGTCCCAGCTGTGCCTTGTACTTCACAAAATATCCTAGCGCTGGGATCATTTCTCATTACTATGAAATCCCCTGTTCCATATTATTGGTTACCAGGCAGTAGAAGTGCTGTAGAAAAACAGGTTTTCTTCAAGAATGTTAAGAGAGTAGAACAGAAAAGCATTCAGGGTTTAACTGAGCATTTTAGACACACCCCCATGTTCAGAGTGGTGTAGAGCCTCGCTACCCTAGGGGAAGAGCTGGAGGAATTTTGGAGGCGTATCTGCAGATGCACCCTGGTGGTAGGTGTTCCATATTCCCTTCCTGAACTCCATGCCAGCTCTGCCGTGGCCACACCTTCTTCCCTCTGAGGTGTTTTGTGCCCAAGGGGCACATAGATGGAGCATTTTCTGTGCTCCAGGGATTTTATCTGTGCCCAGCTGCTGCTGCAGAGGGCTGCAAGGAAGGAGGATGCGGAGAGGCTCTTTATGTTCTCCCCTCATCTGCTCCATTGTGCAGAGCAGATGGGCTCAATCTGGCCTTAAGAAGGCCTAGATCTTTTATGCATTTCAAGATTTATTAATTAATGGGTGACTCCTGGAAATTCTGACAACACAACTAAGTGATACATAGTTCAAGAACAATATTAATTACTTTTGTCCTCTTGTCCCAATTCACTGCAACAAATTATTTCATCTAAGGATTCCCATGTATCCTTATATGCCCGATTCTGCAACCCTTACTGGTGCTGAGTAGCAATTACTCACACAAGTAGTCCCAGTGACTTCAGTGGACCACTCAATTTAGTAAGTGCTTCTTATTGGAAGAGTTTACTCCTGGGGGAATTCCGCACCACTGT